ATTTGCATTCAAATCTGGGAAACTTCATTTTTGGCCCATTTTTGAAAATTTTGATGATGGTACCCCTTATCAAAAATGCGAAATTTGGGCCAAAATTGAATTTCCCAAAATCGAAAAACGAGTGATAGGGGTAGTTAGTGCTGGTCGTTAGCAGCACAAAACAGTTGTTCTTTTGGCTCTGCGTCTTGTTTTGACCGAGCTAGAGCTAATAACCCGAACATAGTATTGCGAATTTCTGTTAAAAATGGGTTTTCTGCTTTTTTAGCCATTAAATCGGCACTCGCAGCAACAAATCAGAACAATAACGCAAAAAGCTAGTATAGGGGTTTAAAGTTTTGGTTGTTAGCAGCACAAAACAGTTGTTCTTTTGGCTCTGCGTCTTGTTTTGACCGAGCTAGAGCTAAAAAGCCAAAGATAGTATTGCAAATTTCTGTTAAATATGGGTTTTCTGCTTTTTTAGCCATTAAATCGGCACTCGCAGCAACAAATCAGAACAATAACGCAAAAAGCTAGTATAGGGGTTTAAAGTTTTGGTTGTTAGCAGCACAAAACAGTTGTTCTTTTGGCTCTGCGTCTTGTTTTGACCGAGCTAGAGCTAATAACCCGAACATAGTATTGCAAATTTCTGTTAAAAATGGGTTTTCTGCTTTTTTAGCCATTAAATCGGCACTCGCAGCAACAAATCAGAACAATAACGCAAAAAGCTAGTATAGGGGTTTAAAGTTTTGGTTGTTAGCTGCATAAAACAGTTATTGTTTTAGGCGTGCGTCTTGTTTTGACAAAGTTAGAGCTAAGAAACGGCAACAAAACCGTGCTCTCTGCTAGCAAAAGATGTAGCATAACTTTAGGCACCAAAAAAATCAGTTTTTGGCCATGGCACAGCCAAAAATGGCCCAAATGAGGAATGTAATACCTCGTAGGGCTCGTAATTTGATTGCCATGATTCCCAATTGATTTGCATTCAAATCTGGGAAACTTCATTTTTGGCCCATTTTTGAAAATTTTGATGATGGTACCCCTTATCAAAAATGCGAAATTTGGGCCAAAATTGAATTTCCCAAAATCGAAAAACGAGTGATAGGGGTAGTTAGTGCTGGTCGTTAGCAGCACAAAACAGTTGTTCTTTTGGCTCTGCGTCTTGTTTTGACCGAGCTAGAGCTAATAACCCGAACATAGTATTGCGAATTTCTGTTAAAAATGGGTTTTCTGCTTTTTTAGCCATTAAATCGGCACTCGCAGCAACAAATCAGAACAATAACGCAAAAAGCTAGTATAGGGGTTTAAAGTTTTGGTTGTTAGCAGCACAAAACAGTTGTTCTTTTGGCTCTTGTCTTGTTTTGACCGAGCTAGAGCTAAAAAGCCAAAGATAGTATTGCAAATTTCTGTTAAATATGGGTTTTCTGCTTTTTTAGCCATTAAATCGGCACTCGCAGCAACAAATCAGAACAATAACGCAAAAAGCTAGTATAGGGGTTTAAAGTTTTGGTTGTTAGCTGCATAAAACAGTTATTGTTTTAGGCGTGCGTCTTGTTTTGACAAAGTTAGAGCTAAGAAACGGCAACAAAACCGTGCTCTCTGCTAGCAAAAGATGTAGCATAACTTTGGGCACAAAAAAATCAGTTTTTTTTGCCATGGCACAGCCAAAAATGGCCCAAATGAGGAATGTAATACCTCGTAGGGCTCGTAATTTGATTGCCATGATTCCCAATTGATTTGCATTCAAATCTGGGAAACTTCATTTTTGGCCCATTTTTGAAAATTTTGATGATGGTACCCCTTATCAAAAATGCGAAATTTGGGCCAAAATTGAAATTCCCAAAATCAAAAAACGAGTGATAGGGGTGGTTAGTGCTGGTCGTTAGCAACACAAAACAGTTGTTCTTTTGGCTCTGCGTCTTGTTTTGACCGAGCTAGAGCGAAAAAGCCAAAGATAGTATTGCAAATTTCTGTTAAAAATGGGTTTTCTGCTTTTGTAGCCATTAAATCGGCACTCGCAGCAACAAATCAGAACAATAACGCAAAAAGCTAGTATAGGGGTTTAAAGTTTTGGTTGTTAGCTGCATAAAACAGTTATTGTTTTAGGCGTGCGTCTTGTTTTGACAAAGTTAGAGCTAAGAAACGGCAACAAAATCGTGCTCTCTGCTAGCAAAAGATGTAGCATAACTTTGGGCACAAAAAAATCAGTTTTTTTTGCCATGGCACAGCCAAAAATGGCCCAAATGAGGAATGTAATACCTCGTAGGGCTCGTAATTTGATTGCCATGATTCCCAATTGATTTGCATTCAAATCTGGGAAACTTCATTTTTGGCCCATTTTTGAAAATTTTGATGATGGTACCCCTTATCAAAAATGCGAAATTTGGGCCAAAATTGAAATTCCCAAAATCAAAAAACGAGTGATAGGGGTGGTTAGTGCTGGTCGTTAGCAGCACAAAACAGTTGTTCTTTTGGCTCTGCGTCTTGTTTTGACCGAGCTAGAGCTAATAACCCGAACATAGTATTGCAAATTTCTGTTAAAAATGGGTTTTCTGCTTTTTTAGCCATTAAATCGGCACTCGCAGCAACAAATCAGAACAATAACGCAAAAAGCTAGTATAGGGGTTTAAAGTTTTGGTTGTTAGCTGCATAAAACAGTTATTGTTTTAGCCGTGCGTATTGTTTTGACAAAGTTAGAGCTAAGAAATGGCAACAAAACCGTGGTCTCTGCTGGCAAAAGATGTACCATAACTTTGGGCACAAAAAAACAGTTTTTTGGCCATGGCACAGCCAAAAATGGCCCAAATGAGGAATGTAATACCTCGTAGGGCTCGTAATTTGATTGCCATGATTCCCAATTGATTTGCATTCAAATCTGGGAAACTTCATTTTTGGCCCATTTTTGAAAATTTTAATGATGGTACCCCTTATCAAAAATGCGAAATTTGGGCCAAAATTGAATTTCCCAAAATCGAAAAACGAGTGATAGGGGTAGTTAGTGCTGGTCGTTAGCAGCACAAAACAGTTGTTCTTTTGGCTCTGCGTCTTGTTTTGACCGAGCTAGAGCTAATAACCCGAACATAGTATTGCGAATTTCTGTTAAAAATGGGTTTTCTGCTTTTTTAGCCATTAAATCGGCACTCGCAGCAACAAATCAGAACAATAACGCAAAAAGCTAGTATAGGGGTTTAAAGTTTTGGTTGTTAGCAGCACAAAACAGTTGTTCTTTTGGCTCTTGTCTTGTTTTGACCGAGCTAGAGCTAAAAAGCCGAAGATAGTATTGCAAATTTGGTTGTTAGCTGCATAAAACAGTTATTGTTTTAGCCGTGCGTCTTGTTTTGACAAAGTTAGAGCTAAGAAACGGCAACAAAACCGTGCTCTCTGCTAGCAAAAGATGTAGCATAACTTTGGGCACAAAAAAATCAGTTTTTTTTGCCATGGCACAGCCAAAAATGGCCCAAATGAGGAATGTAATACCTCGTAGGGCTCGTAATTTGATTGCCATGATTCCCAATTGATTTGCATTCAAATCTGGGAAACTTCATTTTTGGCCCATTTTTGAAAATTTTGATGATGGTACCCCTTATCAAAAATGCGAAATTTGGGCCAAAATTGAAATTCCCAAAATCGAAAAACGAGTGATAGGGGTGGTTAGTGCTGGTCGTTAGCAGCACAAAACAGTTGTTCTTTTGGCTCTGCGTCTTGTTTTGACCGAGCTAGAGCGAAAAAGCCAAAGATAGTATTGCAAATTTCTGTTAAAAATGGGTTTTCTGCTTTTGTAGCCATTAAATCGGCACTCGCAGCAACAAATCAGAACAATAACGCAAAAAGCTAGTATAGGGGTTTAAAGTTTTGGTTGTTAGCAGCACAAAACAGTTGTTCTTTTGGCTCTGCGTCTTGTTTTGACCGAGCTAGAGCTAAAAAGCCGAAGATAGTATTGCAAATTTTTGTTAAAAATGGGTTTTCTGCTTTTTTAGCCATTAAATCGGCACTCGCAGCAACAAATCAGAACAATAACGCAAGAAGCTAGTATAGGGGTTTAAAGTTTTGGTTGTTAGCAGCACAAAACAGTTGTTTTTTTGGCTCTGCGTCTTGTTTTGACCGAGCTAGAGCTAAAAAGCCGAAGATAGTATTGCAAATTTCTGTTAAAAATGGGTTTTCTGCTTTATTAGCCATTAAATCGGCACTCGCAGCAACTAATCAGAACAATAACGCAAAAAGCTAGTATAGGGGTTTAAAGTTTTGGTTGTTAGCTGCATAAAACAGTTATTGTTTTAGCCGTGCGTCTTGTTTTGACAAAGTTAGAGCTAAGAAACGGCAACAAAACCGTGCTCTCTGCTAGCAAAAGATGTAGCATAACTTTGGGCACAAAAAAATCAGTTTTTTGGCCATGGCACAGCCAAAAATGGCCCAAATGAGGAATGTAATACCTCGTAGGGCTCGTAATTTGATTGCCATGATTCCCAATTGATTTGCATTCAAATCTGGGAAACTTCATTTTTGGCCCATTTTTGAAAATTTTGATGATGGTACGTACCCCTTATCAAAAATGCGAAATTTGGGCCAAAATTGAAATTCCCAAAATCAAAAAACGAGTGATAGGGGTGGTTAGTGCTGGTCGTTAGCAGCACAAAACAGTTGTTCTTTTGGCTCTGCGTCTTGTTTTGACCGAGCTAGAGCTAATAACCCGAACATAGTATTGCGAATTTCTGTTAAAAATGGGTTTTCTGCTTTTTTAGCCATTAAATCGGCACTCGCAGCAACAAATCAGAACAATAACGCAAAAAGCTAGTATAGGGGTTTAAAGTTTTGGTTGTTAGCTGCATAAAACAGTCATTGTTTTAGCAGTGAGAATAGGTATTTTCGATTGTTTGGCAAAGTATTGCAAAATATTAAAAATCTACACTTAAAATTTTGAACATAGCTTCCGGTATAGGAATGTAGAACATAATATATGAAAGTGTCTAAAAGTATGCAGTATTTTCGTATGAACCAAAGTTATTAGACTCGAAAAGCAAACTCACATGATTGCTGTACTGGAGCACAATGTCCGTGCTCCTGGTGGAACTGGCACTGGCCGATCGTGAATGGGAGCCGCTGTCCCTCGATCGGGAGCGTCCCACATTGTATTTGTGTTGCTGCTGCTGTTGCACGGCCTGATGCTGCTGCAGCTGTTGCTGTTGTTGCTGCTGCAACTGGTGTTGCTGCTGCTGCTGTTGATGCTGCTTGCGCGACTCTTCGCGCACCAGATATATATCCTCGTAGTCATGATCCCCACCTCCGTTCTGATTGCTCGTGATGCCTTTGTGCGGCTTGTAGTTGTTGTTCTTAATGTTACCGCCGGCACTGATGTTGCTGATGTTGCTGCTGCTGCCGTGGCGATTGAAGCTCTGGCTGCGCATCTGTTGCTGCTGCTTCGGCGAGTTGAAGCTGGACGAGATGGACACGGACTCGTCGGAGCCACTGCCTGCTCCACTTGAGCTGGAGTGGACATCAGCCTGGATTGTCATGGCATTGCCAGCCTTCGACTGTAGCAGCTGGTGGCCATGGCCGTGGGCATGACTCTTGCCGTGCTGCTTCACACTGCTGCTGCAATCGGAGTCAACGAATAGATCCCTTACTCGATTGTAGATAATATCCTGTGGATCGTGCAGGAAGAAGGACTCCCCGGAGATGCTGCCATTCGGTGAAGGTGTATTATACATTCCTCCATTCCTCATGGGATTTACATACAACCCATCGTTGGGCAATAGGGCACCACCTCCTCCTCCGCCACCGCCTGCCGAAGAACTATTTCCACCAGGATTGCCACCCAAAGAGGATGAGCCATTGTATAACTTCTCAGATGAACTTCTCGATTGCTGGGAGTACAGGGCATCGCTGTTTTTCCTCGAGATACCCAGACCCATGCCCATGCCAATGCCTATGCCCAGGCCCATTGCTGATCCTCCAGCTCCGCCTGCCATAGCCGGTGGATGCAGGTAGAATGGCTCCACATCAGAGCTCAGAGTCGAGGATGACTTGGATTTAATCGTATTGCTGCGACTCGTCTGCTTCGACGAATTCGAGTTAGAATTGCAGCTGCTGCTCAGATGTTGCTGCTGCTGCTGTTGTTGCTGTTGCTGGTGTTGCTGATGGTGCTGCTGATGGTGCAGCTGCTGCTGCGACTTGTGCCGCTGTGAGCTGCTCTTGCCATTGTAGTCCACCGAAGTGCCATGCTGAACCAAGACATTCAGGCACTGAAAGGGAAGGGTTGTGATTAAAAAAGATTTCGAATTAAATATTCTATAAGATGAAAACCCACCTCGACTTGTTGATTTTCAGCAGCATCGTTGATGGGCGACTTGCCATACTTGTCCAGAGATAACTTGGCTCCATGATTGAGCAGCCAACGGACTACGGACAGATGACCCCGCGAGGCGGCAAAGTGCAGCGGTGTGGCTCCATCTCCATCCCGCAAATTGGGATCTACGCCTTGATCTTGGACCTTTGTGGGAACGAAAATTACATTAAATATAGTTATAAATCAAGGAAAGATGGTAATTTCCCGATGTCTTAAAACTAGTGGAGGCATAAAAAAGCTAAAACATTCTTTAACACATCTATTTCAAAAACGATCTATTAATGTCTCTTTAGTGGTAAACCAAACTGTTATTCCCAGCCACAGCCATTACTGCTAATCCATCTTAAAGCCTGAGTACTCCACTTATGTCTTGACGAGACGTTGAAGCATCTATTCCTCACCGTTCACTCAGTTGCCAGCTCCTTGTCCACTAACTCAACGCAATGTCTTCGCCGGTCATTCAGCGCTTAAGTATCCCACAGAGTCTCTGTTTGTGGAAAGTGGTTTGCCAGCCGTGAGGCGTTGCGGCTATAATGGAAACTATTTAGTTCAATTTAGAAAGGTGGTTTCCAGCTGCCATCGCCATCGCCACCGCCATCGACTCTTGTGATGATCTTGAAAATGCATTCTGGTTATTGGGAAGCAGCCATTGTCAGCCTTGGCAAAGCTTTGCATAAGCCACTCTCTCCGCTACTGGGATTCTTGGTTTTGTGGATTCTTGACTCCTTGGCCTCCTCCACTGGACGCATTCCCCGGGTGATAAATGGCGCTGGCCTGACGACAAACTGGCCGGGGATCCCACTCGAGAACCCCGTTAAGAAGCCACCGAAACAGGACCCGCAGATACCAGTAAAAAGAAACGGGTTCACCAGCACACTGAGCAAAATGGATAATACTAATACTTGCTATCATTTAAAGGCCATGGTTTAATCTCCCCCTTACTTATTTCTATGCCCTAATTATCAAGTTTTAACTTTAATATTCTAATCTTAAATATTTTTTAAACTAATCTCAAGAACACGACCCAAAAGAAAACCCGGAAATCCAAAAATCTATGGACAGATGGGCCAATCTAGAATCTAGAATACTTTCCCAACTTAACTAATATTTTTTGCTAGTGCAACCTGACTCTGTCAATTGACCCGCATTGCCTGACGCTGTTGGCCAAGTTTTTGGCTAACCAAAGTTGGCAGTCTGCAGATCGGTTAAAGGCCGAAATTAAAACGGAAAGCGGAGCACTCACCATCCATTTGAGGCAATCCAAGCAGCCCATTTGTGAAGCGGCATGGATCGGTGCCATGCCATCGCGTGCACGGACGTACAAAGAGCCGCCGGCCTCCAGCACCAGAAACTTGAGCACCTCCAAGTGTCCCTCCTGCGCCGCCAAGTAGACGGGTGTGACATCGTTGTCCATTTGCGTATTGGCGCTGTAATTTACAAAATACTCATTACTTGGCGTCCAATTAGTTTGGCAAAAATAAGAGGCTTTAATGAACAAAAAGTTGCACCGAAATCAGCTAAGATTGATCTCATTTCAAACACCTATCATTGGCAATCAAAAGCGAGTATATATAGTATATAGTATATAGTAAATAGTAGTAGTAGTATATAGTGTATAGTATATAGTACATAACTGCTGTTAATCACTAGAAACGCACTGGGTCACTGGAAAATCGCTTCTCGTAGTTTTCCTCATCTTTGACCGATTTTCCACTCTTTTTTCTTTTCTTTTTATTGCGGAATATCATTGATCGATCGATTACATAGAGTGGATGATGGTACGCAGAGAGATTAATCAACAGCGGCCATCAATGGCATGGTAATCTGCGGTGAATGTGTGGGAAAAGCTATTCACCGATTTGTCAAGAGGATTATACTCCCATCAAATATCGATCGAATTGGGTAACAAATTTTAAGATTAACTCGTTATCGTTTTGAATGCATTGACATGTTGCTATGGATTTGATATTTATTGGGTTTGAAGTTGAAGAAAAGATGCCATAACAAAGAAGGTTACCATTTGAAAAAGAAGTTAAGACGAAAACAAACTTGGAAGTTCATTTTATAGCTTTCGTTCCCACTAGTTATCGTTTTCTATCAAAGTTTAAATATGGATTTGTGGGAGAAGGTAAATCAGATTAGCTTGAACTTTCTTAGAGAAACCTTAAACTCTGGTATCTAGAACTCTATATGAATTTCCCCCTTTGATTTTCCCCACCTGACGACGCTGCGTCGGTTGTTCTGCTCCTTGCGCCCCACGCCGCTCATCATGGGCGTGGCCTCGTCATCTTCGTTGGAGTCCTGATCCTCGTCGTCGTCCAAACGCTGACGCACCACCTCCACAGCGCTGCTCTTCCGCTGCTGGTGATGCAAATGCGGATGATGCGTCTCCATTTGGATTGGATGGTCCTTGGTTTTCTGTTGCTGGTGATCCTGCTCTTCAGTCCTTTGATCCTGGGCAGCGTCCTCGATAAGAGTGGTGGTCTGACCGTCCTCGATCTCCGATCCTGTGCTGCTGTGGACACTGCTGCTCAGTATGGCTGCGGTTACCTCCGTGGCGATGATCGTGTGGATGTCATTGTTGGACTTGGACTTCTGCTTGCTGCGACGGTAGGAGGTCAGACTTGTGGTCATGCGGCCGAGGAGGCCCTTCTTAACGTTGATGGTGGAGAAGTAGCTGGCGGTGAAGGAGGAGTGGGAGATGGATGTGGGTTGGTTGGCATTGGTGGTCAGGTGACTGGGAGGTGTGTGTTTGAGTGGATCAATTGCTTCTAACATATATGTATAGTATATATCTTTAATTGAAGGATTCGAATAGGCAGTGCGCTTGGTGCTCGTGTTTTTGAGTTTTTTGATTTTGACTTTGATTTTTGTGGACTTTAATTTATTCGCCTGGGCTTACCGTTCACGTTCGAAATTTTCGATTTTCACTTTCGTTTGTCACTTGATTTTTTATATTTTCCGGTTTTTCTGTATCTTTGATTTTCCTTGTACCGTTAAGCACACACACACACACACACTGGTACTATACACACACGAGAAAAAAAGAGTTCGATTTATGGTTAACTGGTTTAGGAAAAATCACTTTAATGCCTTGATTTGCATAGCTAGTTTTTCGTGGCCTGCAGTCTTTTGTTTTCCTCTTTTTTTCATATCATTTTTATGGATCATAAATATATCCGTTGGACCTGCTGAAACCGAAAGTCTGCATTACCCGAACAGCTCGCCGCGGTGTCTGGGCTGTGATTAAACCCTCGATGCTCGATGCTCGATCTGCTCGACAAACTTCTGCTTCTTGCTCGCGTATATCTTATAACTATATACTATATATAAATCTTCTTCATTTTTTTAGGTGAAATTAACGCCTAAAAGCGAAACAAAAACCGTCGAGGGGAGGAGGTTTCTCTCGCCGAGTAGTTACGCCTGACTCCCAGTCTAAAATCTGCACTTGTCTTGGCGTCTGCCACTTGTATGTTGCTGCTGTACATGTTGCTCGTGTTTCTAGTGTTGCTGCTGTTACCATTTAGCTGGCTGGCCTGGCTTTCCACACGCCACAGTGGGGCAAGAGTGGGTGTGGATCGAATTGGATCGCTTCATCCAACGGGAGATTTATAATGGCCCCTGATCACTGTGATCACGGCAATTTAGCCATCGCCGAAATTATAGCCCACCAGAGGCATACGTTTGGTCAGGCTTTTCAAAACTTAAGATTGCCTAAGGAAATTGCTGGCCAACTTGGAAGTATAATACTAACTAAAGAGAAGTCTAAGAAGTATTTTCCTAAGTTCCCTTATGCCCAATTCCAATATAATTCAATTTTCCAGCCAACCTTTTGTCATGTCCCACTGTGCTTTCGCCCCCTGTGTGCTCCAGAAGATTCGGTGGCCGAACGGAGGCAATGGAGGCGATGGAGGCAATGATGATGATGGGTATATGGGTACGGATACTAGTATCTGTTCACTTAGTCAACTGGCTTACGACTTCATGGATATTGCGCACGGCAGCTTTGGCTTTCTTCGTCCGACTTCGGACTACTTGTTACATTTTCCAGCTTTTCTCGCTTAGAAATGAATTGTAAACCAATTAAAGTTGATTTTTCATCTTTATCCCCGCCTCCCCTTTTGTTTATCGTATCTTGTATCTTCTTTAGTAGGTGAAAATACAGTAAAAGATATATATACTATATATATATTCCCAATTTTTCATCTTTGCTGTATTGTTTTTTGTTTTTTTGCCTCTCTCGATTTGCAATTTAATAATTATTTTTTAATTTATTTAATGTGTGTCTGGGGGGGCACCTTCTCCCCTTCCCAGAGAGGTGGGCCAAGCAGAAAATGGAATTAAAAAGCGAAATAATTGAGGCGAAGCAGGAGCCTCGTTAGAAATGCCAGTTGACAGTTATAGACTCGTTTATTTAATTGAAGATTTGCGTGCTCGGGTCCATTGATGGACGATCAGCAATTGGCGGTCCATCATCGAGACTCCGCCGATTGTCCAGTGCTGAGAGAATGCAGAATGAAAGCCGCGCGAGTGACACAAATGGACTCCAGGGAGTTACAGAGACACAAAGATACAAACTTATACAATAACTGAAGATAAGTGGAAATCTTAAAGTGATTTCCTCTTTACATATGTGGGCAGTGAGTGCCGCTTCTTGGTTTAGATTCTCTAGCAATTAGCAAGCCTTTTTTTGGTGGTTTCAAGGGGTTCCTACAAAGGGATTTGTGGGTCTTCTTAATAAGGGTTTTCCTGTATTCTAGCTTTTCACTTTTTATATAGTTCATGGCATTATTTCTTTCCTTTTATCAAGGGAAATCCTTAATTGTTATGATCCTCTGAGGCTAATCAAACTGAGTATGACTTGATCTAGTCTTCAGTTTGTCTTACTTTCTATAGCTTTTCTCCTTCATAAACTTTGAGCTATTTAATCACAGTCCAGCCTAGCACCTTAAATAAGCTTAAGAATCTTCTCTTAATTTATAACGAATTCCTTGGAGAACTTTATTAGTTCTTAAAGCTTTCTCTTTCTTGCTTTTTTGATAAATAATTTCAGATACCAATTCTAATGAATGGATTTTATCAATATATTACAAATTCTTGCTGATAAGTCAGCACCATCTACACTTTGTTTTCATATATTCATAATTTCCGACCAAGCACAAAACCACTCACACCTGAACTTGTATGTTTTTTAAAGCATTCGATTCGATTTTATTCGATTTGGTTCCGCACTCAAACACACACTGGCAAAAAAAAACGTGTTAGATTGACTTGGAATCCTTAGTGGCCTCCCGGTGGCCATTCGGATTTCCTCGCTGCCTTGGCCAATCGATTAGTGGCAACTGAATGTTGGCCAAAAGCAGCCGTGGCTACCTTTTCATGGTTGCGGTTGCTGCGGCTGCTGCTGCTGCGGATGTTGCTGTTGGCTTGGGCATTAAGCCAAATGTTGCGGCTACTGTTTGGGGGGTAAAGATGAGGATGAGGATGAAGCTGAAGCTGAAGCTGAAGCTGAAGCTTAGGCTTTTCTTCTGCCTTGCAGTTCTTTGGTACACTGAAACTGTTAATTAATTCGCGTTCCGATTCGTTAACTGCATTTGAAATACTTTGAAGCGCGAAATTTTGTTTGCCGTTGTTGCTGGTATAAATGCTCTTGCTGATGATGTTGCTTGTGTTGCTGATGTTGCTGTAGCTACTGCTGGCTGACCAACGGGCAGTCGCGGGGGCGGGGGCGTGGCCGTGCTGCTGCATTGAGCTTCAAAACTAAACCGCACTAAATCCACCATTGAAATCAAAATTCAAATTCATTCTACAGCCGCATGTTGCTGCTGCTGCGCGTAACGGTTGCTGGTAAACGGTAACAACTTTAACACCAACTATCACAATATATATATATATATCTATATATATACTATATATAAAACCGAGGAGAGGTTGCCCACGAACGAAAGCACCGTTCGCCTCGACTAGCCAAACGCGAATAGCCAGCACCACCGAACGCCAAGCGCCATCGAGTGGCCACCGTGAACCGCCGACTGGCGGTGGTGCTGCTTCCTCTACCTCTTCTGCCACCACTTCTTCTTCTTCTTCTTTGTCATCGTCATCATCACCATTTCCCACTTCTGGGAAGGCGGAGCGGGGCAAACCAGATAGCTCGACACCGAGCTGTCGCCATAAGCAATATTATCAAATGGCCAGCGGCGAGGGCGGATCAACAGGTGAGTAACAATGGTCATACGGATATTGGTAACACTCAATCGTCGCGCCCATTTCAGAGATGGTTAACACCTTCTCATTTATAAACCTTCAAAGTTAACAAACCTATCATTACAGTTTCCTTAAGTTTACTTTCTAATAAATGATAATCTCAAGGAAATTAAAACCATTCATGGAAAGGTTTACAAAAGTTTCATGACTAGTAAAATTGTGTTAATTTTAAAGGTTTTTAAGTTCATTTTATAGTTGTTAAAACATAAAATATTATCAAAAATTAATATTTAAAAACATTTATGTTTATTTATCTTTAGAAAACCTTTTAAACTCCCCTCGCTTTCCTCTTCTGCCGCTTAAACACAAGAAGCAGTAAGAGTCTTCAGCGAGGTGTCTTTGTACGCAAAACTATCAAAACGGTTTGCGACGAGGGTGGTTTGAAATGTTAAGCAAATATTGCTCAGGTCAACATTAAACCTGTAAATGTGAAACTTTACCAGTAAATATACAGACAAGTTTCACGATTCTCTCTCAATATTTAAGTAATCATTGATAACTCTCAAAATGCGTAGTTAAGTTATATAAGTTTAAGTTATAGGGTGAAGATAAACTGTTGTACATTGCTATTACGAACTGAAGATCATAAACCAAATCAGCGGAGGAGTTTATAACGAACTTATAAGTTGAACATTTTCTTCTAGTTTCCTATCATAGTTCTAGTTTAATCTGTGAAACCGCCCTCGCTCTCATCTCTCGTTGCTTTCTGTGTCGCCGTGTCAGTTGTCATGTCAATTGATCTGCCCAGGCGCTTTGTAAATATGGATTTAGTCGGGGATCTGGAGATATGGGGATCTGCTGGATCGAAAGAGAGAGAGAGAGAGAGAGAGAGAGAGAGAGCTTGAAGAAGGCAGGCAGGCGGAGATCAGGCTATGACACTGATTCTGACTATGATTCCGAGTCCAATTCTGATTCTGATTCCTTGGCCTGGTCCGAAGAGTTGCTCCACTTCGTGGCGAGTGGGGAAAACTTGTTGCAACGGTGCTTTTCCGAGGCAGTGAGTTTTCCAGTTTGACTCCAATTGAAAATAGCACACGATAGAACCAAACCTGGCCTGGCCTGGACTCGATTGGATTGGATTGGATGGTTTGCCATGAAGGGGCAGCTGTCAGAGGGGGAAGCTTAGATGCGAGTGCATCTCGCTTGGCTGGCTCGCCTTGGCCACATGAATTCCCATACCCATACCCATTCCCATTATCATTTCCCAATTAAATGAATCAGCTTTGGACGCGTGCTGCTGTTCGGGCCACAGGAATTTAGGTGAATCAAAACCTGGCCACGGCTGGCTAGCCCACTTGGTGTATAGTTCTTCCAAGATTCTCCAAGTTTTCCAATGCCTTTTCCTTGTTCACCAGCCAGCTTCATTCTTTCTAGTTTGCTGGATGAGCTAATAAGTTTTAATTAGTGCATTTAATTGACTGCTGCTGCTCCCAGCTCGGCTGCATGATAATAATTTCTTAAATGAACTTCTTTGCTGATTTAGTTTATGATAATCAGATCGTTACAGTGGCTTAGACACTTCAACTGATTCTTGTATTAAAATCATCATTAAGTGCTGGTATTAAAATGGAGCATATTAAACGGGCTTTAGAATGGGCACTTAATGTGCTTTTTTTTTACATTATTTGCATTCTTAAGTTAAAATTCAATCAAAAACCAATCATATCTCTTTAAAATACTATGGAAAATAGACTTGCCATGATTTCCAGCACTAATAAGCCACTTGTTTTGGCTGTTCGACTAATCGAAACAGATAAGAAACGCCTAATGAGAATAATTGTCGCAAGTAAATGGAAAGAAACTGCATCGAATGGAAATGCAGACAGGCCGAGGAAATAATAAAACACAAAGTGGAGCCCCGATCGTCGACAGATTTCCCCGACACATAAACAGAAAGAACGGCGGCAAAAAAAAAGCTTTCACCCCGCGCTCAAATCACGATGCAACTTTTGGCACATATATATATATGTTTGTATATATGTATATAAAACTTGGGGATCAGGTGTTTATCCACTTACCAAATATCCACGGATGCGGCTACCAACAGTTGGACGCAGTCGAGGCAGCCACGTGCGGCGGCATAGTGAAGGGCCAGTGCACCTCCGTTGGGTCTTTCGCTACCGGAAACGCTCCCCGGATGATGCATCTGACCCATTTGGCCCATATTCCCCAGATTAATCATACCGCCCACTCCGCCCAGGTACGAATCCAGCTGGTGGGCGTGCATTCTGCTCGGATTGATGTTGCTACTATAGTTCTGATTGCTATGGATTAGCTTGTTGCTGTGCAGATTGTTCAGTTTGTTGTGCAGATTCGAGTTCAGCGCATAATCGTTTATGGTTCTGTGAAATAACAAGAAAACAATTTAAATTTAATACTTAATAAATAGCAATTAGTAAGTCGGTGATTTCGCAATGTAAAGGTCGTATAAATAAGCTTACTTAAAATATGTTTTATGAACGTGTTTTTAATGAACACCCAAAACTTCTTAACATTACGAAGATTATGAAATAAGGCATAAAATTAACTATTTATGTGTTTTAAAAACAATATTTAACTTTGCTGAAGGAGAAACGGTTTGCTAAGCCAACAAATATTGCATACTTTTGGGCTGCAGTATAACTCAACCAAAAGTCAACTTTTCTGCACGCAAAACAAAAGACTTAAGACACAAACTTAAAGGAAAAACGAACAAGTAAGGTTACAAATTGCTTAATAAATACATTAGTTAGGACAAATCTGTACCGAAAACAATGGCAATATAAAAGTGATTGAAATCATTAAAGAAATTCGGTTTTCTGTACTAACATAGCCCAAGAAAAATGCCCTTTAATTTCCCTCCTTTCATACATTGCAAAATATTTAATTTCCCTTTGACAGCCATTTAGGCACACCTGGTAATTAATTAATTATCCAAAAAGGGAAGTGCTGGCTATTAATTTTGATTGCATCTTTTTCAGCTGAGCATCTGCGGCTGCACTTGGATTCACTGGGTGCCCTTTTCCGAATCACTAAACCAGGTCAAGTCTGCTGCTGACTCATTTGATTGCCGTTTCCGCGGCAAAAACAAAAACAAAAACAAAAATACAAACATAATCATAATGATAATGCTAAAAGAAACAATACACACGACGACAAATTAATTGAAAGCTGAGAAGCGGCATTAAAATGCGAAAATACCGGGCATTTGTGACTGAATCTCGTTTGTCGCTGCTTTCCACCTGCGGCTGTGGCAACATAAAAAGAAACAGAAAGCCGCAGAAAGACGACACTTTCTTCCAGTTTATTGCATCAACGGTGGCATCGTCGGTAGGAATGGCAAATGGGAAAATGGAAGCGGGCCGGTAGCAGGTGTCAACAAAACAGGGCAAGTGCCACGAAACCCACGAAACCCACGGAACCCGACAGAAAAGCCACAAAAACCACAAAGCCCAACAAAGCCAACAAATCTGACAACAAAAACCCACAAAAAACATTCAGCTAAGAGAGAAAAAAAGTGAAATAAGCGATTTGGCAATAGCATTGCAGGCCAGTTGGTCAACCAAAGTGGCAAAGGGGGTTAGGAAAACTATTATGATCTTTAAGGGTGTTAAGAGATGTCACTGCCTTTTGTGGTCCAACTGATCTCTAGCTTGTGATATAACAAATGTTAAATATATATAGCTAGGATTTTCCTTAGTAAATACCTTTAATAAATGGCTAATTCACTTGCCAATTAAATAGCCATAAAAACTGTTAAAGAATTCGGCTAACTCTCTGCTTTTAAACGAACTCATTCATTGCTGCGTGCAGCTATTTGAAATATGTAACTCTAGTACTAATACTACTGCTTATACGAAATCTATTTTTAGTTTAAATATTAATAACTAAGGCAAATGCAGCCAAGCGAGTAATACAGCAATTTGAGTTGCCAAATTAATACGCTACCAAGGCAATCTTTGGATTCATAATAATCAAAAGATATTATAGAGATTTTCTTTTCCATAAATCTTAATATCATTCACATGTGATAACTACTAGAAACATATTCCCAAATCAATTAGCTACTAATATATGTTGATATCTGTGTAAATATATATCGAAATGGGGAAGGGGTTAGTCAGAGTTGAAAGCTTGGAAAGAGGTAGAAGAACAGAGAACGGAAGAAAATAATCATTTAAGAAATTATACTCGCGGAGCTCTGTTGGTTTTTGCGGAATGGGAAAGCTGGTGGGAAATTTACTAGCGGCTTTAGATGACTCTTTCTCAAAATTTCGCACAAAATCTGATGGACAAATCAATAAAAAATATGGCCCATCCCAGATTTCCTTAAGAGTGTTGATGAGAGAAAAGATTTACTTCGGAATACTCGTTAAATATTGGACCCATTTGGAAATGGTAGAGGTTTTCCTAAGGGTAGCACATAGTCACACCTTTTAATCTTTGTTGCACTTTCAAAAAAAAAAATTTGAAATATGTTTTACTCTTGTTTAAAATTTTTAAAAAGTTCTCCTGCTTTTCTGCTTGATTTTATCGACACCCCACTGTAACTAATCGATTTTGGCGCGCGTCTATATTTATTTTTAATTTTTGTGTTCTGGTTTTGGCTTTCGGTTGGTGGCGATTTCTTTTACCTCAATTTGATGGCAATATCACGGCACTTGACGCATGGCACCTGGCCGGCTGATTCCTTGGTCTGCTGTGCTGCACTGCCTGCCTTTTCCGGCGGGGCTATCGTGGCATACTGGGCCTCCTCCTGATCCTCCTCCTTGCCCTCCTTTTCCTCCTGCCCCGTTGGCTTGTCATCCGCCTCCGTTTCACTGGCAAAGTCCACCACCAATTCCTCATTGGTCTCCTGGCTATTCATTTGCCTCCTGCTAAAATAGCCCACATGCTGATCCACGCCAGCATTGGCGTCCAAAAGGATCCGTTCATAAGCAGCACTTTCGTTTTCGGAGAGGGCAAAACGCTGCTCGAAAACCCGGACGGGCAGAGCACTTTTCCGGAGAACCTCCATCCTTTTGTGGCGCAACTCAATGGAGAAGATCAGTCGGACGCGTACCAATCTCCGCAGACCCTGATGCGTGGATCTAGCCCTCTGTAGCCTCCTTCGCTGCTGCCTCAATTCCAATTTCTCCAAGCCTTTGAGGGATTTGGGATCGACCAGGCCGTGATTATAGTCCGCCACGGAGGTGAGATCCAAGGCCGAACGAGTACGACGCCAGGGCACCAAATCGAAATGTGCCCCGGCCCAGGGATGAAAGTTCACTTGACTAACGTTGGTGCTGCGATCCTGCTTCAAAATCCAATCCGATTGCTGCTCTTTGGTGACCTTAACGTGATCATTCCGTGCCGCTGCCTGCGGCCTATGGCGTTTATATCGCGGCACCAGTGTCGCCTCCAACATCCGGGCATCCAGACCGTAATCCCGACGCAGCTGCTCCAGTTCCCTACTGCTGGCCGTAAACTGAGCACCGTTCCACACGATCACCGGCGCACAACTGGCCATTTGGATTCTGTTTCTCGTTTTTCTCTTTCTGTTTCTGTTTTGTATTTTTGCTTTTGGTTCTAGCCACCCCGAAAGTTCTTTCTTTTTGGCTTTTTAATTTTCGTGTATTATTATTTTTTATTTTCCCGAATAGCCCCGCTCGTTTTCCGGTTTCCGTTCGGCAATGTCGCGTTTGTCGCGTCCGCGCTCCGTGACGCCGGCGACGCAAATGTTGGCTGGCCAAAAAAAAACTGCTACGTCTACTTCAAACTCCAAATCCGCAGTCGATTCCTATTACCTACACTATGCAAAAAAGTTGCGCCAACTGCGCTGCCCCGCGCTGCCAACAGCAACAGCAACAGCCATAACAACAACAACGAATGCCACTCATGATTAAGAGTTTTCTGTTTTCTGTTATTGTTTTTGTTTTTGTTATTGTTATTGTGATTATGGACTGTTTTGTTGGAGTTGCTGGTGTTGCTAGTGCTGCCGCTTTGTTTGCTGATATTGCTGCTTGTTGCTGCTGCTACTGTTGTTGCTGCCACACGGCTCAAAAATAAGGTAGCTTAGCCAAAAATGCATATTTAATGGCAATTAGAAAGATTAAGATGCTCAGTATTTGAGTACATTAATAATTCCATTACCTTTAACCAGATTTATATAGCACTTTCAGTTCTTAGTTAGCCGCCTTTTCTCTCAGTGCATCTCTACTGATGTTTGCTCAACATTGAGGAGCATCGCGGGCTTAGCTGCCCCCTTTGATTGTATTATTTATTTATTTTTCACGCTCACTGCCATGTCAACTCCGCTCTGGGGCAACTCTCTGCCAGCGCCGACGTCGCTTCACATGGCTGCGCACGCGTCAGCAACAACAGTAACAACAAGAACAGCAATAATAACAACAACAAATAGGCATACTAATATTAACTAAACTCCATAGTTGCTGGAATTATCGGCGCTGTTTGCTGGGCATTCAGCAATTTGAGTTTAGAATTCTATTCTCGGCTAATTGACAACATCGGGCCATTGGCATTGTACCGGCCAAATTCCAAATTAACCAACAAAGGCAACGAAATAAACATTTTTATAGTACAGATATGGTAATGATAGATATAGTAATCATCCCCCAGAGATATATGACTCACTAAATAGTTTAATAACTTGAGAATGTAAAACGAAGGGCTCTGTTGTTTTAGAATTCCTGAATTCTTTTACAACTTTAAACTTAAATGTTAAATACTGAACAAGCCTTTAAATTACAAAACCAATGACATGTTGAACAAGGTTTTAGCCTTACTAATAATTCCCATAGCCTTACACGCGAAGCAATTAAGGGGTAAACCTTCCTCATATAATAAATATTTATAAAAAGAAAATAAAAAGATTTTCCATGTAAATGTTTTAAACTAATAATAAATTCGAAGAACCCTTAATCCTATAATTAATTTCAGCTAGTTGAGGGCAATTTCATCATCGTTTCTAATCCACCTCAATCGAAGTCTAACTAATTTCCATAGAAAATATGTAATTAAGTTTGCAAAATATCCGCCTAATGTTTAGACTTCTCATTGCCTTCTAAATATTTTCCACATGGAAAGCTCTTTGCACACGAACCATGCAAAATATCAATTATGTTTTATACTATACCTATACTATATATATACTAAATACTATATAGTTGCTGCCCCTAGAATGGGCTTAAGTCAAGCGTGGCGAAATGGAGGGGCTGGCTTGCAGCTTCTTGAGTGGCAATTGGGCAACTCTGTCTGCATTTTCTTTCCCCCTCCCCACTGCCTTTTCCACCTGTGTGAGTCATGAAAAGTGTGTGCAAATGGCGTGAAGAGTTTTTCATGATTTCTGGTTCAATGGCGTTCA